AAAAGTGGTTGTGAATCCAAACTTGAAGGAGCTGAGTACACCCAACAAACCTTCCTCCGCCAGTTCTTCTGCAATGGTTGAGAGATCGAAAGGTTTCGGTTAAGATGGCCGGTGCTGGGTTGATTCGCCTTGGAAGTTGTTCGAATAGCTCTACCACGGTTGCGTCGATGCAACCCAAAGTCTTCGGAAAGATAACCAGACCGTACAGACCTAGTGCAAAAAGGTCTATAGTCTTTCATTCATCAGGGTGGTTCTTCATTAGTTGCCTTATGTGAATCCACTCGATTCCTTCCCCGTTACCTTTGTGTCGAAGTCGATCAGTCACCCATTTTTCATCAACCCTTACAATTTTAGCTAGTCCGTTCTTGAAAGGCTGGCTCTTGATGTGTTTGATTTATACCCTCTCTAGTCTGATGTTTTCGCAGTGCAGTAGGGTAGTATACTCTTCGATAGTAGGCACCATGTCCTCCTGGTTAAAGGTGAAACAACTATATCCCGGATTCCAGAATTGAATTAATGCTCGGAGCAGGGGCTCATCAGTCTTGACATGGAGTAAGAGGACAATATCACCATATCGTTGGCTGAACTTCTGCTTTCTGTCATTCCCCCAACTATCCCAAATGTTTCGCAGTTCTTGGACATCGTTCTGTTTCAGGCTGACGCATAACTAACCAGCTCTGACACATAATTTCCCTGAAGACTGTCTCCCTTCTCTTTCTGAGTCTTCTCGGACCATAGTAGTGCCTCATCATTTTCAATCTCTTGTATTACAACACCTTTGTCCATTAATTCGGATTTATTTTGTGTTTAACAAACGCTTTTTAAGGATCAATAGCCTATTGTTATGATGCAAATGCTAGAAAACAAACACAAAGGCAAAAGGATTAGTAAAATAAAAATAAATAAATAAAATGACGAAAGAAAAAAAAGAAAATGGTTAGGGTAAAAATATCCTAGGTTTTGGAATGTGGTTCCGGGGTAGGCTCTAATTCTGCATGGTCTCCCAATTTAGGTTCTAAAAACGGTACCTTAGTTCTCCTTGCCGGTGCCCCCTTGGGTTTGCCAGACCCTTAGTCCTAAACCTATCACAGGCTTGTGTGGAATAAGTTAAACTCGAGATGACATATTCCCTTATGCCCGCACGGTGAATAAATTCACACGAAGGCGTCGCTTTTACCCCCACTTAAAACAGGGTTTGGAGCTCGGGTATAAAGCCTTAAGTGAAAAAAAATTTGAAGGCTGAAATCACGAGAAAACTTACCCTTTTCGTTAAAAAGACAACTGGAAATTACCTTAGCCTGACTCACTTACCTGTGTCCCTAGTGGAGTCGTCAAGCTGTCGGAACCGTCTTTTGGTTCGGGCCCCGGAATTAGGCTTCGACTTGAAAAATGGATTGGAGTCGCCACCGATCTTTTATTTTAAAACAAATAGGTAGATCGGATACCTTATTCCATACATGATCTGCGTCTTACCAGTGATGTGTCGGATTCGGGAGTCGGTTACAGTCAAGGAAGGGTTAGCACCCTTGAACTGCCCTTTCGGTACTATATAATTTTCAGTTGCCTTTAGTTAAGAAAAATGTAACTTTAAATTAAAAGGTAAAATAGCGATCCGAAAACTTACCTCTTGATTGGTTGAAGTTCTTATTAAAAAGGTCAAAAATGTTAGATAAAAATAGTAATTATAAATGAACATTGAATAAATCAAAGAAAAAAACATAAATAAAATATAAAAAATAGAATAGTAAACCAAAGAAAATAAAAAATAAAGTCCTTCAAAAACAATTATAAAATTCTAGACCAGAATGTCTCTACACCATTAACATGCAAATTAAAACAAATCTAATATTCAAACCAAATCCTAAATAGGACCCTAAACATCTACAAAGATTTTAAAATAATAATGAAGGTAAAGCCAAATCATTCCAGGAAACAAAAATAATCAAAGGAAAATGGGTAGTAAATTAAAGTGTGTAACATGCATACAAATTCAAAGATCAAATAGGAGAAGAAAAATAAAAATATATATAAAGCAAACCTAACCTACTGACTTAAACTACCACTTTATCGAAACAAACAAAAGGGGAAATTTTAGTCAGAAAGAAAGTACATGCAGACAAAAAAAAGGCCCAAGGGATAATAAAATATAAATATATATATATATATATATAAAGAAATAATATTAGTAAAATAATAGTAATAATAGGTGAATAAAAAAACATATAATGAAATATATATAAAAAATAATAATGTAATACGTAATAACATAAAAGTATAATAGAATAAAAAGAAATAATAAATAATAATAATAAAAGGATTAAATAAATTCAATGGCCAATTTACAAGGATTTCGGGTTCAAAAATTGATTTAGGGGTCTAAATTAAATGTTTTAAAACCGAGGAACCAAAAGGATGATTTGCCCCTTGTTGAATGAAAACACGCTGGTCTAGGGGTTTGGTGGGTCGGGTCATAGGCCATTCGGGTTTAATATAAAATTCAAAAACACTTTCAAACTTCTTCATTTTGCTTTCTTCTCGTACCAGAGTCCCTCTGTCTCACTCAAATTCTCTCCTTTGTTCATCATAGGATTATTGACCAATCGAAACCTCTTTCTATCCCCGCTTTGAAAATCAAAACATTTTTCAAAGATTATTGACCTCGGGGGCTAGATCTACAAATGAAGATCTCGAGAACGCCCATCCGTTCATCGGTCTAAAGCTCATTTTTTGGGTTTGAAACAAAGAAAAAGAGAACGCATGCAACACAAGCCGACCGAATCGAAGGTAAAAACGGAAATATATACCTCTTTTATTTCTTTTTCAAAATGCTCTACAAGTGTTCGGACTCTGTGTGTGTTTGCTATTGTGAGCTTATGTGCGTGTATGCCTCGTGGTAATCTCTTCGTGTCTCAAATGTATCGATTACATGAGTTTTTATACTGGAAAAAATCTATATTTAATCTCAAATCTAGAGTCCTAATTGCGTTGATATTTTGTTGCTTGGTTGTGGATGAGTCCTAGGTACCCACGCCGTTGATGTGCTGTGCGAAATGGTCGGAGTGGCGTTGGTGGTTGCCGAGAAAATCGGTGTTGCTGAGATGTGTGTGGCTGTAGGGATCTCTCGGGTAAGCGGCGCTGGATGAGATGCTGAAGCCACTAGGGTTTCCCACGGGTTTGTTGGGCCAATGTATATTCTGCTAGACCACGTGTATTTTTGGGCCTGATACAGAAATGAAACAAAATGTAAAATGTGTTAGTTTTAAAAATAATAATAATATTTATACAATATATATAATATATAAATATATTTCAATCGTATAAAGTGTGTCTACAGTTACAACTTAAATTAATAATGTTTTGTTGTGTAATTATGGGTAGATGATGATTATAATAAAAATATTAATAAATTATTAATGTCATCACGTTTACAACACTAAACTTTTTTTTATTATAACAGTCTATCAGATCTGCTGTGCAATGGTTTTTAAATATATGCAAATTTGTTTGCCGCCTTATTTCTCAACAATTCTTCGATATTCGAGATAATGCTTTTAAAATAGGCTTAAAAATAATCTCAGACCAAAAATCTTAGATAATATACGATTTTGACCAATTTTTTTAGATTTGCGAAAATGACCAACAAAATCGCAATGCGATCTCTAATTCGCATTGCGATCTCCACTATCGCAACGCGAAATGCAACGCGAATTGTGATTTTCAACTATCGCAACGCGAAATGGAAAATCGCAACGCGATTTTCAACTATCGCAACGCGAAATGCAACGCGAATTTGCGATAGTGGAGATCGCAATGCGAATTAGAGATCGCATTGCGATTTTATTAGTCATTTTCTCAAATCCAAAAAAAATTGGTCAAAATCGTATATTATCTCAGATTTTTGGTCACTGAAGTTATTTTCTCATAAAAAATTTATATAAATTATATTTTTTCTCATTTAAATATATATTTTTTATCAATTTAAATATCTAACATTATAAACTATATAATTTGAAGTATTTCATTTATTAAATTTAAAATAAAATTATTATCCTTTTTAGAAAAAAAACCCAATCTTTTAAAATTACAAAAGATCTCAAAATACTATAAACTTCAAATACCCAAACTCTAAAATCCATGATCTTTCCCGCCGTCGGCCACCAACGACGTCGCTGCCGCCGGCCGAAACCCCCACGTTGTTGACCGACCACCCTTTAACTGGCTCTACTGCAATATAATTCACAATCTCTCCAGTTGAATGACTTCTCCTTCCAATGCACGAAAGCTTCAGCTGTTTTTGATAAACCGCGACCATCAAAGCTTCAGTTATTACTTTGATCAAGGGGCTTTTTTTATATGATGAAATTGGTTGGTTTGTGTCAACAGATCCATTCATTTGAATCTGCAAAGCTTGCTAGGACCTTTGATTTAGTCAAAAGGGGAAGGATATGGCATGGTGCGAGTGGATTCCAAACTGTTAGGGTTGCAATGGTCTTCCGCTGAAGGAATGAAGGTGGGTGGTATTGGGGCGGTGGAATGGTCGGGAATGGTGGTCTGCAAATGCTTTATAAATCAGGTCCTGTCTTTAGCCTCTGTTTCAGCCAAAAAGATCTGATTGCTAAAATCTTCCTTCACATTGCCATGTTTCATTGGGTTGCCATTTTCTTCGTTTTATATAATTTAATATAATCTACCAATAATACTTAATTAATAATTCGTGCTTTCCTAAATAGACCAATAATGTTAAGGAATAAAACCATTTTTTTAATGAATGGCCAAAATCAAAAAAACATAAAAATATCATCGGTATAGTTTACCCCTTTTTATTATACCAGATCTGCTGCGCGGTGGTTTTTAAATATATGCAAATTTGTTTGCCGTCTTATTTCTCAACAACTCTTCGAGATAATGATTTTAAAGTATATGCAAATTACGTAATTCGCCAAATAAAAAATGGCGTTTAATGTGCAATGGTGAACTTTAGGCTTTATATATTAGGGACAGTGTTTAGCCTCTGGGATCACCCGTGTCATCAAAAAAGATGAGCAAACCCGACTGCTCAAAGCTTCACATCGCCATGTTTCCATGGGTTGCCTATGGTCACTTCATCCCCTTCCTTCATCTCTCAAATAAACTGGCTCAGAAAGGCCATAAAATATCCTTCCTTTTGCCTAAAGGTGTTCAACCAAGGCTTGAAAACATGAACCATTTCCCCGACCTTATTCAATTCTTTCCTCTCCTTCTTCCTCAAGTCGATGGTCTCCCTCCAGGTGCTGAAACCGCATCTGTTGTTCCTATGAACCAACAAAAGTACCTTGCTTTTTCCGTTGACCAAACCCGAGATCAAGTTGAATCCATCTTCAAGGTTCTAAAACCTGATGTGGTTTTTTATGATTTCTGGTTTTGGATTCCTGACTTGGCTCGCCAACTCGGCATCAGTCCCATATTCTATTCAGTGGTTTGCTCAATGGGGATGGGGTTGGGGTTAAACGCTAAGAAACTAACCAGGGAAACCACGGTAGAAGAGGCGATAGAATTGCCTCCTGGTTACCCTTCTTCCACTGTGAGACTCAAAGCTGAAGAGGCTCCTTCATTGTTGTTTGTTGTTGAGGATTTTGGGAGTGGACTTTCATTTGATGAACGGATAAGGGTAGGTTTGATAGAAAGTGATGCAATTGCCTTCAGGACTTACCGTGAAATCGAGGGACCATTTCTTGACTACGTAGCTCAAGGATCTGGGAAGCCAGTTTTGTTATCAGGGCCTTGCTTGCCCGGAACAGAGACCCAACAACTTGATGACAAATGGGTTAAATTGCTAAGCCAGTTCGAGCCAAGGTCTGTGGTGTTCTGTGCATTCGGAAGCCAGAGTCAATTGCAGAAGGATGAGTTCCAGGAGTTGGTCCTTGGGTTCGAGTTATGTGGACACCCATTTTTGGTAGCTTTAAAGCCACCCAAAGGATGCTCGAGTGTTGAAGAAGCCCTGCCTGAGGGGTTCCAAGATAGGGTTAAGGGAAGAGGGTTGGTTTATGATGATTGGGTTCCACAACAACTATTGTTGCAACACCCAAGCATTGGGTGTTTCGTGAACCACTGTGGGTATGGAACAATGTGGGAGTTTTTGCTTAGTGACTGTCAGATCGTGTTGATTCCTGAACTAACAGATCAAATTCTGAACACGAGGTTGATGGTGAATGAACTGAATATTGGTGTTGAAGTAGAGAGAGATAAAAACAGGCAGGTATCAAAGGAGTCATTGAGTGAAGCCGTCAAGTTTGTGATGGACAAAGACAATGAAACAGCTAATATGTTCAGGGCTAACCATGCCAAGCTGAAGGAAACACTTTCCAACAAAGATCTTCAAGAACAATATATCAACAATTTCATTCAAGCTCTAAAAGATCTTGTTAAAAGGAAGTCTTAAGATGCAAAACAAGATGGGTAAACTACACAAATACCCACTAATGTTTGAGTAAATTTTCATTTTACCCACTGAAGTTTTAAAAAATAATAAATCGGTCCCTCGCTATTAATAGTCCTTGTTGTGAGTGATAGAAAATTGATATGACACATTGACCATTTGACCTGCCATTTGATTCCCCTCTAACCCCATTCCTATCTCTTTCCTTCTTATAGTGAAGAAACTCATCACGATGGCAAACTCTTCCAATAATTGATCTATTAGTATCATTGACATTTTTAGATGCTTGATTGTAGTATTTCAACAATGCAGTCTTTGATAATGAAACCTTGTCTCCATTAACTATCACCCGAATGTTATTTTTCCACTTTCGAACAATCTCTCTTCTAGAATGCTTCTCAAACACAACAGGAGTCAACTTGTCTTCATTGCAACCAGCGGTGCATTCACATGTGATTTCAAGGTCACCATATCTATGATTGGTACACCCACGTGCCATTTCTATAAAATATATTCCTTTCTTCAAGCCACTGATAGAGATGATACCAAACAAACCAACACAAACACACGCACGCTCAAACACACTTCTCCTTATTAGGTTTCCCAAAAAGAAAGTGAACCCAGAAACCCTAAAGAAGAGAGAAATCGAATATAGGTAATGTTGAGATGAGATTTTATAACAACTCTTGGTCTACAGTACTTACAAATGCTCATCTCATTCAATCCAGGTGTAGCCCCCGAGTCGACTCGCATTTTCAACGAGTTATCTAAAGCAACTATCGTTTCTGTCTCTAGACCCAACACCGACGATATCAACCTCATACTTTTGTCTTACACCATCATGTTTTGATAGAAACATGCAAGTTTTTCTTTTTTGATCAAAATCCTTATTTCTCCAATTTGTTTGAAATTTTGAAATTCGAATGATATTTTTTCCTACTTTTGGTTGTTTTAATTTAAGTGACGGTTATTAAAGAAGGCTTCACACATTTTTTATTTGCACTTTGCTTTGAGAAAATGATTGTAATCGAAGAAATTCATGAGAAGCAAGAAAATGTTTATGTAGATATAACGACAGTGTTTATATTAATGGTTAAAGAATGGCTTCAAAATCTAGGAATAAGAGACCAGATACATAAGTCGGTTCTACACGAAAATGATGAACTGGATGAAGATATTACATCATGATGGGTTAAGGGTCTCTTTTCTTTCTTTTCTCCATTCTCACATTTATTGTTTCCATTCTTTTTATGCAACAAAAACAAAGAACAACCATTAATAATGAAAAAAAATTAAAAAAGATGAAACAATAAGAAGGAAAGAGAGCAGAATGAGGTTAGAGGGGTCAAATGGAAAGTCAAATGGTCAATGTGTCACGCGCAGTTAACATGCCACGTTAGCTTTCTGTCACCTACATTAACTGTTGTTAATAGTGAGTGACTGATTTGTTACAAATCGATAACATTAGTGATCAGTTTGTTACTTTTGAAATTTAAGTGGAGAAAACAATAACTTACTGAAACATTAGTTACTACTAGTGTAATTTACCCATTTCTTTTTCATGTATTAGTATTGGTATCGTAATAATGCTTTTTTAGAGAGTGAATGTTATCATATTATAAAATATAAAGACATGTAGTAATCATACATCTATACAAATAAAGATATCCTTTCTTCATTCCAAAGGGCAAGCTTTGGCTACAATGAAACCATGACTTTGGTATAATTTGAAATGCAGAAGATTATGTGTCCTAACGTGGCATGATTTGAAGAAAAGTAATAAAGATTACTTGCATTATATTAGATATTGGCTGATCAAATTATGCATTCCAAAGTGATAAAACACAACATCAAAAGTCCATAGTAATCAAATACAACATCATAGCTATAAAATGAAAGAGGAACTAAAACACCCTAAAGAACCATGATAAAGGCACTGAAATCAAATCAAGGAATTTAGGTAACCCTGTTTTTCTTTTGACTTCAATCTCAAAACTGGGGGAAGCTAATGGATGATAGTACAACAAGGAAAGTTTTTTGCTTAATGAGATGGAGATTTGAGGAAACTCAACATCATATAACAATTAATCAGAACAGCAGCCAAGTTTCTTGATGGCAGAAACGTCATCTTTGGTTCCGACATTGACGGTTTGTCCTTTAGGCAATGCTGCAGGATCATCCCCTACTTCAAGCGCCTTTCGACTTACGACATGATAGATTTGAGTCAGCACTTCGGTGAATGCATTCTCTACGTTCAGGGACTCAAGGGCAGATGTCTCCATAAAGTAGGTGTTTTCTTTCTCGGAAAATGTTTTGGCATCCTCTGTGGAAACAGAACGCAGGTGCCGTAGGTCTGCCTTGTTACCGACAAGCATAATCACAATATTGGAGTCCGTGTGATTTCGTAGTTCCTTCAACCATCTCTCCACATTCTCAAATGTGATGTGTCGGGGTGACATCATAGACAAGCAACGCACCAACGGCTCCCCGGTAGTATGCACTTGTAATCGCTCGATATCTGAAAAAATATATATAACAAGAAAACAACTCTGAAAAAGCGCATGGAACATATCTATTTTGAGGGTCAACCTTTGACAACTCAAGCTTCTGTAGAAATCATTTATCTTTTTACAGGCACCAATCACTTGATTTCAAGGAGAGACAACACTGAATGTTCATTTCATGCTCTACAAGTTCTCAATGTAGATTTTATTTAATTTGGAAAGACCTTGGGTCAGTCAATATAGAAAATTAAATAACACCTAAAGTTCTTACATTTAAAATTTGTAACTTAACCAAACATATGATATTGTAGAACCTAACTCTGGTACATATTCTCCAGAGAAACACCACTGAGAAAATTATCCATTCAGCTAATACAGAACATCCGAGAACTCAACACGAGCCTTCTTTTAACAGAGAGGCTAAACATAGAACTCGTTACAGACAAATCCTTCTAAAATAAAGTAAATCGATCGATAGGTTGGATATACAAATGATATCATCTTCAAAAGCCCTATATTCTAAAGATGGTTACTAATATAGTTGATGATTCAACTAGGACTTTGAAGAGAAGTAGGTCTAGTTCCACCTTTTCATCAATAAATGAAGCTGTAACCTTTATCGATCAGACCGAAATGCATACCGTATGTAGCTCATTTATTAGTAAGCTAACTATGGATTTTTTTGTATATAACATAGCACATGTGAACTAGTCAAGAAAAGTAGTCTTTCAAATATGCTTAAAATTTAGACCAATACCTACTTCTCACCAAATTACCAAAATCCAAGTCCTCATGCTTCAGTATAAAAGGAAAATTCTGAATGCAGTTTGCTTCTACATTTTCTTAGCAACCAAACAAAGAAAAAAGAAATCCTAGGGCTTCACCAAACCTATATTGTAGTCTAAAAGCACCCTCTTTTCCCCAAATCACTAATAAATTCCCCTAAAATATCCGAGAGTCCAAAAAAATAGTAATGATTTCTCTACATTTCCTCAGCTACTAAACAGCTCTAAAATTACAATTACTACACATCAACTCACAAAATAATCATCTTTATGAAATTATAAATAATAGTGATATAGAATAAAGAAAAATAAGTTTTAAAAGACCAACCTTTCTTGTCCAGCTGTGTCCCAAATCTGTGCCTTAACGACCTTATCATCGACCCGAATGCTTCGGGTTGCAAATTCTACTCCAATTGTGGATTTTGACTCGAGGTTAAACTCGTTTCTCGCAAATCTCGACAGCAAATTCGATTTCCCGACACCCGAATCTCCGATCAATACTAGCTTAAACAAATAATCGTAGTCTTCGTCTGCTCTATAGGCTGCCATTTCGGGTCACCGGGTCGGGTTTTTGGGATTTTGATAAAAGGATTAGGATCTATGAAGAAATTTTATCAATCAACAGAGATCGGGGGAGTCGGGGAGAGAGATTTTGAATTTGCAATAAGACAGGGAGAAAAAGTGGCTTAGATTGAGAGTACAAATATCGGATCGGGTCGAGAAATTGGATACGCTGATGGGCTAGTATTTGTTTTGACTGTTAAAGCTCTTCAAAATTATTATGTCTACGCATAGACCACTCGTAGGCATTAGATTTCGTAAACCGTTTATTTTTTAAAAAATAAAAACTCTTCTAACGTTTACGCGTTCTCTTCTTGGCGCAGACGTGACCTTATATTTTTAAAACTCTTCTAACCTCTTCAAAGAACATTAAATATTAATTTTAAACATAATCACATGTATTATTAATTTTATAAGTTTTATATTATAGATATTAATTTTAATATTAATTTTTTAAATAAATTAAATATTAATTTTTTAATATTATATTATAGATATTTAATTTTATATCATCATATAAATTATTTTATATATTATTAAAATTTTATATTTATTTTAATTATTTTGATTTAAGTTTAAATATAATATTTTTTTGGATTTGTTATTTTTAAATTATATTTAAACTTTTTATACAAAATGTAAGTATTTAAACCACATTGCTTAATAAAAAATGATTTCATTGTTTGATAATTAAGATTTTAAAATATAAAAAATTATAAATTATGTTTTTAAAATTTTAAAATATAATCACAATTAAATAAAAAATAATCATAAAATAATTTGATAAATTAAAAATATTTTCTAAAAATATTTTATAATTATAAAAATAAATTATGAATATATATATTTAAAAAAATTAAAAGTATTACATAATTGCATAAAATTATTGAAAATATTCAAATAAAATTTTAATTACAATTAAAGAGTAAATGAGAAATTTTCCACTAATATAATATGTACGATCTGTTTTTCTTTTTTAACGAAAAAAAGGAAAGAACTGGAGGTCTAGCTCAAATTGCATCACTGATCACGCATTGAACTTATTCCATGAGAACGGCTTCGATCCCATCAACGAGGTCTGGAAAATATAAAGACCAGGATCTCTTGACAATTATTATTTTTTTTTTGAAAAGAGAGGTGTATGATTCATTGATTAATAATAGTTTAATGATAATTAATGTTGATGTGCCATATGATAATAAAATTCAAAATTTAATATTATTATATAACTTTAGATAATTTAATGTTTAAAAATCATATAATTTAATGATCATTTATAAATTTTAGTCTATAAACTTATAAAACTAATAATACATGTGATTATGTGAGACTTATAATAGAATTAATAAGGTGGTGTTTGTTTTTCTAAAAAAAACTATTATTGTAGTTGTATGGATTATTTAAATTTCAGTATTGTAAAACTAAAATTATTTAAATCTCAATATTGCAAAATTCTTTTAAGTTTAAAAAATCAATTTATTTATATTTTAGTTTATTTTAGCAGTTTGCATGCGTTAATTTAATAAGGTTATTTATTAAATAATTTATTCAGTATGGATTGATTTATTTTAAAAAAAAAATATTATTGTAGTTGTATGAATTATTTAAATTTCTGTATTGTAAAACTAAAATTATTTAAATTTCAGTATTGCAAAACTATTTTAAGTTTAGAAAATCAGTTTATTTTAGCAATCTGCAGACATTAAAAAACAAACCATCTTCTTCTTGCAGACTGCAGACTTTTGGTCCACCTCTTCTGCTGTAGATGCCTGCAGATGTGATCCGTAAACTGCAAACCTTTTACCTCTATAAAAACAAACACCACCTAAGTCTCGTTTAGGGAAAGCTTTTCAAATTTCAATACTGAATTGACTCCAAATGGTAAAAGAATGGTGAAAAGTAGGAATCCTAATATTTGTTTTTTATATTTAGATATTAAGAAGTTAAATATTAAATTTATTATTTCTTTTAGATTTAGAATGGATGCGAATAATTTTATTTTTTAAAAATGTTTATTGTTTGAAAGTTGCATTATTTAGAAAACATAAATGAGAAAATAGAAAATATAAAGACATTACAATTATTGAAAAAAAATAAACTTCAAACAAATTCAGAAAAAATTAATAGAAATCAGCGAAAAAGAAATGTTAAAGTCGATGAGAGAAAAAGGAGATGCCAACGAGAAAGAATATATTAATATTTTAATATTTTAAAATGAAAATACAAAATATATTCTAAAAGGTTTGACCGTAATATATAATATATATTTTATGAAGAATAAAAAAAACCATAATCCGATCAATCAATTTACATCAATTAAATATATAAAAATATAATTTTTAAGAATGAATTATATAAACAAATAAAATTTAATATATTTATCTATATAATTACAATAAAAATTATCAATATAATAGATGATTAAAATAGGATAAATTTTAATACCGAGATTAGATGTAATGGAAAAGTAATTTATGAACTGAAATCATTAATTTATTTAATTATCGAAGGTCTACCATGTGTATAAGGTTGTCAAGCACCGTACGTCTCTCCAACTGACAAACTTTGTAAATTACCACGTCAGCGTCTCTTTATCTCAATCTCTTACATCATTTATTTCATCATCTTTCAAAGATTTTCTCGTACAAATTCAAGTCCGACACCGAAAACAAGACTCCCGATAAACATGGAGGAGACGGCGGCGGATGTCATAAAACGCGACGGTTTGGGGAAATTTCCTGATAATTTAGAGTACCAATCAGGATTCACCAATGATTTTTCATCGGAGGCGATCGCCGGAGCTCTACCACGAGGCCAAAATAGTCCTCTTTTTTGCCCTTTTGGACTCTATGCTGAGCAGATCTCCGGCACTTCCTTTACTTCTCCGCGCAAGCTTAATCAACGCAGGTAATATTATTTATTTAAAAAAACAGATTTTTAAACTATTTGTTTACTGATGTAAATAAAAGATAAGTTTTTTTTTACTAAAAAGTATCGATCTTTACGCGTAGGTTTAATCATCAAATTGATTTTTTTTCCTGTGTGAATAGTTGGTTATATAGAATCAAGCCATCGGTGACTCACGAGCCATTTTGGCCACGTGAACCGAGTCATAAGAAGCTTGTGAGTGAATTTGACCGGTCCAACACGGTTGCAAACCCGACTCGGCTCCGGTGGAAGCCTGTGGATATTCCTGAGTTGCCGATCGATTTTATCGATGGTTTATACACAATATGTGGAGCTGGCAGCTCATTCCTTCGACATGGATACGCTATTCACATGTAATGGGTATTTTAGGTGTCATTTCACTTTTTACATGAATATGATCACAACTGCTAATTATAATAGTCATTTATTCAATACTCAAAATTGTGTATGTTACTATCTTTTTACCTGTTATCTAAGAACTATGCTAAATTTCTGTGGGATTTGTTTGATATTTGTTTGAGGACCCAACACCGTCACACCCTTTATCTCCGAGTAGTAAACCTTGATTTATATTGCTGTTGATTTCAATGTAAAGATGGGAAAATGATGCTAAAAAGAAGTTATTATAACTGTTACTACTAGCGCAGATCACTCCAATATTGTGAAGAAAGTTAGAAGCCGAGATGTTAACTAATATGCAGGATGTATGACTTGAAACTTATTTAGATGTCAACTACACTCCAGCAAGATTATATTAGTAGACTTTATATCGGACGTTTTTCAATTCTTGATGCTTTAAAACTTGCATTTTGGCACACTTCTCAATCTCTGAGCTGAGTGGACTAGGATGATTCTCTGAATTGCAACTTTTTCATTAGGGAGATGGAAGTAAAGTGAGTTTGGTTTTGTTTGCAGTTTGTATTTTGGCTGACACGCACCAAATTGCTGATGTGCTTGGTTGAGATGAGTTTTGCCATCATAAACTCTTTGTGTATCTATGATGTATAAAGGAACTTTTGTTCCATTGATCCTTTGCTAGGAGATGCCGATCATGCTCTATTGTTTAGCTTAAAGGTGAACCTTAAGGGAGCAATAAAGTTTTCCTCACATGTAGGTACACTGCCAACAAATCAATGGACAATTGTGCCTTCTGCAATGCGGATGGTGATTTTTTGGTAGTTCCACAGCAAGGAAGTAAGTTAAAATTCTTTTACCGTTGAATTAATGACCGCTTAAAAACAGCTTTTTGATGGAAAGGAATACTCTTACTTAAGAACTGATTACAGGGCTATGGATCACTACTGAATGTGGAAGATTGCAGGTATCTCCTGGGGAAATTGTTGTCTTACCTCAAGGCTTCCGCTTTGTTGTAGATTTGCCTGATGGCCCTTCTCGTGGTTATGTTGCTGAGGTCTTCGGCACCCATTTTCAGCTTCCTGATCTTGGCCCGATAGGTACCTAATCTCTTGCTCAGATGTGGCCTGTGAGTGAATTAAGCATGATATTTTTTTGTTTGCGTAGGTCTAAAAAATAAACCACTTTTTTTATCATGTTGGATAGATATGCCCTTTGGATACGATTTTCATCTTGTGTAGGTGCTAATGGTCTTGCTGCTTCAAGACACTTCCTCGCCCCCACAGCTTGGTTTGAGGAGGTTCCCCGGCCAGGGTTTACCATTGTACAAAAGTTTGGTGGAGAACTTTTCACTGCAAGACAAGATTTTTCTCCTTTCAACGTAGTTGCCTGGCATGGTAATTATGTCCCGTATAAGGTGGGAGTAATCAATCTTCAAAATTAACTAGCTAAACTATAAAATTTTGAATATGATGCATTTAGTGATCTGATTTTATTTAAAATGTTGCATTCAGTATGATCTTAGCAAGTTCTGCCCTTACAATACTGTCTTAGTCGATCATGGTGATCCATCAATAAATACAGGTATGATGATAAAATATAGATGGACTCTGTTTGCGCATGGTACTCCTAAGATTTATTTGAGCAATATCTTGCAGTTCTGACAGCACCAACTGATAAACCGGGTGTGGCATTGCTTGATTTTGTCATTTTCCCTCCCCGATGGTTGGTCGCTGAACATACATTCCGACCTCCATATTACCACCGCAATTGCATGAGTGAATTTATGGGCCTAATACATGGTGGATATGAGGTGAATCCTACAATATTCTGGCTAGCTGGTACAATTTGAGTATACTTCTAGTAGAACAGTTGATTATAGGGTCGTTCCATAGTGATATCTCATGCTGGTATAGCAAGGCATTCTTTCTAATTTTAAGATTTCTGTTTCATAGATAATATATAGTGTAATTCTTTCGTAACAATGATGTTCTGTTTCAGGCAAAAGCTGATGGCTTTCTGCCCGGTGGTGCTAGTCTTCATAGTTGCATGACTCCTCACGGTCCTGACACCAAGACATACGAGGTAACCATCTTGAGCACAACATCATCGATTTCCTTTATGCCTTCTTAATCTTTGGGTAGTCTGACTGGCTAGAACAAAATGAGACCATTCGTTCCTATCAGTTTGTTGATCCTTCGAAACTGGCCACTCTGGGATCCCTCGTCTGTTTTGACAACTCTTTTGGCTTGCAGGCCACTATTGCACATGGAAATGAGGCAGGACCTCACAGGATCACTGATACAATGGCCTTTATGTTCGAATCATGTTTAATGCCTAGAACCTGTCCATGGGCTCTCGATTCCCCCTTCAGGGATCATGATTATTACCAGTGCTGGATTGGGCTGAAATCCCATTTTTCACATGATAAAAAGGAAGCTAAAACCAACGCTTTGCGGAATGGACTCGATGAGACCGGGTCCGAACTCCAAAGCCACAGTGGGTGAGTTGATTTTCAAACATTAATCTCGGCCTCAAGCTCTTATAGATTCAGACACTATGTTCTTATGCAGAATAAGCAATGTATGTAATCTCACAGGTTGGGAAAGGTGGGAGGGTGATTTTATTGTTCCTTAGCTCATAGGAGTGTGACATCGATCATGTCTAATCTTGATAAATGAATATAAATGTGTACAAGTTGTGTTTGGTATAATATGAAGAATATATGTATATATTATGTAGTTCGGACTCTTCATATTTCATATAATATTAGATCGAAGTCGTGAAATATTTGTAAGTATAATTAGTATCTCCATTAAAGACAATAATTAGTCTAAAAATAGGATAGGGTAACAATTAGTTTTTTTAACTTAATTTTTTAAATTTAAATTTTGTTCATTCTCATTAATTTTTGGTTTTAACAACATTTAGTTATTTTGATGACATGATGTTCTAAGATTATAATACACGGATTACATCATGGTGTATAATCTTAAAGTATCGTATTATTAAAAATATTAAAAAACAATTTTAGGATTAATTTAGTAAAAAATAAAATTTAAAATTTGTTAAATATAAATGTTGTTATATATTTAAAAAATTTATTATTATAATTCTAAAAATATTTTTTTCGCCTTGGATCTTGAATACCAACGAATTCGTATAGCTTAGCTTGGAACAAAAATTACAAATATTGAGTATTGACTTTGGTCAAATCTTTGAATTGATTTCCCGTCATACCAAAAGTGGATTTCAAAACCAAGCCGGTCCCGGTCCAGGTCATGGTTGCTTCCTCGGCCTGCACCCAGGCTGAGGGAGTGGTTCCATAGTAGGGTGGCTCAAGTCATAGCCGAATGCAGGACCCTAAAGCCAAAGTGGACCATAAATTGGTCAATGGTCAAGCCCCCGAGTTCGTTATGACACACACCAACCAATCAGGCAATCACCATAAACCGGTTAGCTCAGCTCCATAAAACCCTTTTTCAACATATAATTTAAGGATACGGACTTTGTCCGGTGGGGCTATAAAACCCTCAGCTTTCAGTTGCTCTATTTATGTTATATCTTTTAAGTATTCTAATTTATAATTAAATTTCTCCTAAATATGATTGTATTTGGACGACTTGTTTCTTGCTCTTTTACTTTTTCTTTTATTGTTGTTATTTTCTTTGCTTTCGAGTTTGAGAGGCATTTCTCTTTAATTGAATTTTGGGAGAGGAATATAGTTAAAGGGATATATTACATCTTTAAGAATGTATTCTTATATTTAAGTGCTATTTATTTAACCCAAAGTCATGCATATTGCTCTTGAAAGAAAAAAAAAAATTACATTAATATTAATTACTATCAGATACGAGATATGTTAGAAGAAAATTTATTTAAAGTTTATATTAATGCTAATTATATGATGACGAAAGTAATTCAGCCTAAAAAATTCAAAGATTATTGTTAATGACTCAGTTTGTCTATTCCTTTCAATCAACTCGAGAAATAAGAGATTTGTTGGGTGGATTCATCTTTAACTAAAATTATGAAGATGGGCATATTTAATAGAGATGTATCATATATTTGGAGATGTATTCACACATTCATGTATGTAGGGACAGATACTGGATTTATGTCAATGAGGTGAACTTATAAAATTTTAAGGAAAACGAGAATAAATTATCAATAAAAGAATAATTTAAAATATATGAGAATTTAAAAAATTTAAAAGATAAACTCCCACGCTCATTCTTCTATGATCCATCCCTACATGTATATCATTATTTGTTTGTTAAGTACATCCACTTATTATAAATTAACTATGATTTCTATGTATATTTTACTATTTTCTATGAATATGTGATATTGAAAAGACTTTTAGGGCAAGTGAGAGGCAGAGAAAGAAAACAAATCGTAAGTTGTGAAGCACAATAATAAGGATATTAATCTAAGTGAGAGAAATAGAGTCATTTTAGTTGTGAGAATTGATAAATAATTCTTTTTGAATGAGATATTATTTATAATCCTACTCAATAATGAAAAACATTTACATTAGACTAAAATCTTACTATTTTTCTCAATTTAGATTTTTTATCACTAAATTTACGTGAATTCGTCTTCTTATTTTTTATTTTATTTTTCCTATTTTATTTTCTGCAAATAGAGAAAAGATTATTCAAATGTATTATTGTTTTCCCCAACAGGATGCCTAGACACTCTTCTAGTAGTTTGTTATTGTTTTGGGTTGTAGGTTTTGTTACTCATCTAGATGTTTTGTTCGACCCTTGACTCATGATCGATATTTTACAATTCCCGACTGATGTAATCGATTGGTCTTGGGTTTCCTCCATTCTTTGTACTTTTCATATTTCAAATGATTTTAGCTGTAGTGATAAAAAATGTCTCTAATATTTAATTAAAATAGTTATTTTGATATCCATTTTTAGAATATTTTGGCCACCAATATTTTATTTTAGGGTAAAATGTTTCGTTCGTGGATGAAAATTGTTAGTCAACAAACGGATAGTGCTCTAAAATAAGGGGCTTTACCGTAAATTAAAACGTTTGGAGGCCAAAATACTTTCAAAAAATAAGACCACAGATGACTATTTAGTCAAACATTAAAGGCCTTTTACCCCCAAAATACTCTAAAAGAATAAAGACCAAAATGATTATTTAATCGAACAATATGAGATTTTTTTATATTATGCTATAATTTTATTATGATTAAAAAATTTCTTTTAAAATTTACATTAGGTTTAATGTAAAATTAAGTGTCCAAATTATACCTTAAGTTATCTTTAGGTGCATAAGAATTTTTCATTAAAAACAAATACTTCACGTTTTCAACATTACACTTTTAAGTGTCTGCATCATAACGGCTGTTAAAAAATGTTAAGTCAAAATTTTATTTTTAAAAAAGCAAATATCATTTTTTAAAAACCCGTTTCCTTTATATATATATATATATATATATATATATATATATATATATATATATATATATATATATATAAAGAAAACCTATCCCCACCCCAATCCCCTATGTTGCAGTCCTTCCCGCTAATCCCCATGAATTTGAGTAGCAGATGTCGAAACGTTATTTTGCCCGACGAAAACAAGTGTCGTTATTTTTTAAATTACGTCTCGAAAAAGTAAATATTTTTCTTATGGCATAAGATAAAACATAAATTTGAGGAGTCACCACCAATCATTGATCAATGTGTGATTGGTCACCAAAATGCTTGATTATTTTAATAAAATTTATAAAAATATTACTAAAATAATACAAAAAATGGTATGCTTACCAGAAAATGAGTTCGGGAGTCGATTACGTGTGGGGAATGATTAACACCCCCACAACGCCCAAAATTGGTACCTTGGTTTATTAATTAATTATCTTTGCAATAAATTTACAATTTGTATTTAATTTTAACTACTCTTTTAAATATTTCAAAAATCATATTCCTAAGTCAAGTGTTAAAATTATTGACTGATTTAAGGTGTAGGTTGATTCTGGTAAAGTAAGGTCTCTCAGGTTGGTCCAGCATATATGTCTCTTTGAGCGTCAACTAACTTAAAAAAATGGTTGTTATGCTCATTTCATAGAGATACTTTTTGATTCCATACGTCTGTAGGATGTGCAGTGCTTCATCAAGAGCTTAAGATCGTCTCTTATGTCGTTGTTGCACCATTCAGTATTTGAGCCGTCTTTTCAGGTTTTCAACTCGAATCCTCCTTTGGTTTCAAAATGTTATTCAAAAATTTTACGTCTTGAACCCCCTTTATTATATATCATGCATTAAAGTTTTTTTTTAAAAACCAATTTTTGCAAAAAAAAATCAATCCTGAGAGGCGTAACGAAATCTGAAGATAATCTCTTTAGAAATCCATGTATGATTAGAATGGACTTTTATTGAGTTAATCGATCGACGGAATCGGCCAAGAGGGGGGTGAATTGGCAATTAAAAATTTGGTGGAAGCTTTTGCAGAAAATTGAAAGTAATTGCACAACGATTTAGAGTGGTTCGACTTTCTCAAACAAAGTCTACGTCCACTACCTTAGCTATCCACACTAAGGATTTTCCAACAAATTCACTAATTTGTTCTTTCTTTTGAGGCCAAAGAGATAACCTTACAACTCCCTCAAGAATATACCCCAATTCTTGAGAACACTCTTTCTCAAAGAGAAGATTACAAATTCACAAACTTAATGAAAAACCTCACAAGGCAAATGTGTTTACACAATTCTAGAACAAAGAAAAGAACACTCAAAAATGAATACAATTGAGTACAAGTAGTGTTCTTGAAAGCAAAATGAATATTGAATGAAAAATAGGCTTGAATTGCTCAAACAATGAGTTTGATGCTTTCTTTTTGATTCTCTCTTGATTTTAGTTGCTTGTTGTTTCTTCTTGTTTACTCTTATTGATCAATGGCTTCTAAGCTTGTTTAAATACTATTTCAAATGATTCTGAACGTTGGGGATAATTAGTGGAGTCAATAGAGTCGTTTAAGTGTGAAAACAATTAATTAAAGCAGTTGGGAGCGTCAGTGTATCGATGCATACCCATGGTGCATCGGTGTGCATCAAGTGTGAAATTCAAATATTTTGATCGTTGGACCCTTAGTGCATCGGTGCACTAAGAGTGCACCGATGCATAAAATGCATTCGATGTTTCAAAATATCCAGAGTGCATCGATGCATAGCTTGTGCATCGATGCATCAAATGCATTGAGTGCATCGATGCATAAAATGCATTCGATGTTCAATTTATTCCATGGTGCATCGATGCATGGATTGGTACATCGGTGCATCACTTTGAAAAATTATTTTAGGCTTGATTTTGGTTCAAAATACTTTGTGAAAATTGTTTCAAAAATATATTAAGTATAAAACACAATTTTACACATTTAGTAAGGTTTGAAATTGATCTTGAAAGACTTGGAGTAATAATTTGATATTCGATTAATTGAATCGAATATACTTATAAAATTCTTTGTAAAATCTTAAAATTCATTTATACTTAGTTTGTTATATCGAAACATCAAAATGTTTTCAACAATCTCCCCTTTTTTGATATAACAAAACATTTGTGTAATTTTAAGATTTTCTTTGAAAATAAATTTTGAAATCAAATTTGAAATTACTCCCCCTTACTCTAACACTTCTCCCCTTTAACATTTTTAC